CATTGTAAATTAAGTTGGAACAATAGATTTAGAGCTCCGATCTATCTTTCCAACGAGATATAATACGCTCCAAACGGACAAACACACAGCTAGATATGAGTGTCACAAATACATAGCCTTATCTCTATGATTTAGCGTTTTCAGCGAAAATAGAGCACTTTTAGCGTAAATACAGTGTATTTTAGTAATCAGGCAATCATCCCTTGATATTTTGAAACCGGAGCCTGAAGCAAATTTTAGACCTCGTAAAGATCTTTCCAACGAGATATTAAACGCTTTCAACGGCACAAAATAGAGAAAGATATGATCGCATCAAATTCTACACGAGTTCGGTGTGAAATAAGAAACATTTGTGAATATATGGTTAATCCGTAACTTTTAATTAATGCATTGTAAAAGAAGTTGGAAAAATATCTTTAGATCTCCGATCTATCTTTCCAAAGAGATATAATACGCTCCAAACGGATAAACCCACAGCAAGATTTGAGTGTCACAAATACTTAGCCTTATCTCTATGATTTAGCGTTTTCAGCGAAAATAGAGCACTTTTAGCGTAAATACAGTGCATTTTAGTAATTAGGCAATCATACCTTTATATTCTGAAACCAGAGCCTGAAGACAAGTTTTAGAACTCGGTAAGATCTTTCAACGAGATATTAAACGCTTTCAACAACACAAAATAGACCAATTTATGATCACATTTAATTTTACACGATTTCGGAGTGAAATCAGAAACATTTTTGAATATATGGTTAATCTGTAACTTTTAATTAATGCATTGTAAATGAAGTTGGAACAATAGCTTTAGAGCTCCGATCTATCTTTCCAACGAGATATAATACGCTCGAAACGGATAAACACACAGCAAGATATGAGTGTCATAAATACTTAGCCTTATCTTTATGATTTAGCGTTTTCAGCAAAAATAGAGCACTTTTAGCGTAAATACAGTGTATTTTAGTAATTAGGCAATCGTCCCTTGATATGTTGAAACCAGCGCCTTAAGACAAGTTTTCGAACTCGTTAAGATCTTTCCAACGAGATATTAAACGCTTTCAGCGGCACAAAATAGAGCAAGATATGATCGCATCATATTCTACACGAGTTCGGAGTGAAATCAGAATCATTTGTGAATATATGGTTAATCTGTAACTCTTAATTAATTCATTGTAAATGAAGTTGGAACAATAGCTTTAGATCTCCGATCTATCTTTCCAACGAGATATAATACGCTCCAAATGGATAAAGACACAGCAAGATATGAGTGTCACAATTACTTAGCCTTATCTCTATGATTTAGCGTTTTCAGCGAAAATAGAGCACTTTTAGCGTATATACAGTGTATTTTAGTAATTAGGCAATCATCCCTTGATATTATGAAACCAGAGCCTGAAGACAAGTTTTAGAACTCGGTAAGATCTTTCCAACGATATATTAAACGCTTTCAACGGCACAAAATACAGCATGATATGATCGCATCACATTCTACACGAGTTCGGAGTGAAATCAAAAACATTTGTGAATATATGGTTAATCTGTAACTTTTAATTAATGCATTGTAAATGAAGTTGGAACAATAGCTTTAGAGCTCCGATGTATCTTTCCAACGAGATATAATACGATCCAAACGGATAAACACACATCAAGATATGAGTGACACAAATACTTAGCCTTATCTCTATGATTTAGCGTTTTCAGCGAAAATAGAGCACTTTTAGCGTAAATGCAGTGCATTTTAGTAATTAGGCAATCAATACTTGATACTTTGAAACCTGCGCCTGAAGACAAGTTTTAGAAATCGGTAAGAGCTTTCCAACGAGATATTAAACGCTTTCAACGGCACAAAATAGAGCAAGATGTGATGGCCTCAAATTCTACACGAGTTCGGAGTGAAATCAGAAACATTTGTGAATATATGGTTAATATGTAACTTTTAATTAATGCATTGTAAATGAAGTTGGAACAATAGCTTTAGAGCTCCGATGTATCTTTCCAACGAGATATAATACGATCCAAACGGATAAACACACAGCAAGATATGAGTGACACAAATACTTAGCTTTATCCCTATGATTTAGCGTTTTCAGCGAAAATAGAGCACTATTAGCGTGAATACAGTGTATTTTAGTAATTAAGCAATCATCCCTTGATATTCTGAAATCAGCGCCTGAAGACAAGTTTTAGAACTCGGTAATATCTTTCCAACGAGATATTAAACGCTTTCAGCGGCACAAAATAGAGCAAGATATGATCGCATCACATTCTACACGAGTTCGGAGTGAAATCAGAATCATTTGTGAATATATGGTTAATCTGTAACTCTTAATTAATTCATTGTAAATGAAGTTGGAACAATAGCTTTAGATCTCCGATCTATCTTTCCAACGAGATATAATACGCTCCAAACGGATAAGCACACAGCAAGATATGAGTGTCACAAATACTTAGCTTTATCTCTATGATTTAGCGTTTTCAGCGAAAATAGAGCACTTTTAGCGTAAATTCAGTGTATTTTAGTAATTAAGCAATCATCCCTTGATATTTTCAAACCAGCGCCAGAAGACAAGATTTAGAACTAGGTAAGATCGTTCCAACGAGATATTAAACGCTTTCAACGGCACAAAATAGAGAAAGATATGATCGCATCGAATTCTACACGAGCGCGGGGATCAAGGCCAAGGCAGTCAGAATTGCATTCATCTATACTATCTACCCGTTATGGAGAGTTCGAAATGCCACTAGATTTGATGATAAGAAGACCCATGAGGAAGATGTTTTTGCCAGGATCCAATACATGGTGTATAAGATCCTCTATAGTATTTACCCTCATGAACTTATTACTTTTTGAAATTTGATAGGGTGCGGCTACATGCCTTATTTTGTGTGATTTGGGGCTGATTGTATAGCCCACAGGTTTATGGTATATCCCATGTTGGGATAGCCCCATTTTTGTCCCTCATTGTTTTTTGCCTTACTTGTACAGAAACTCTTTTGGATGATATATATAATTACCCTTTATCCAAAAAAATTGAAAGCAGCGCCTGAAGACAAGTTTTAGAACTCGGTAAGATCTTTCAAACGAGATATTAAACGCTTTCAACGACACAAAATAGAGCAAGATATGATCGCATCAAATTCTACACGAGTTCGGAGTGAAATCCGAAACATTTGTGAATATATAGTTAATGTGTAACTTTTAATTAATGCATTGTAAATGAAGTTGGAACAATAGATTTAGAGCTCCGATCTATCTTTCCAACGAGATATAATACGCTCCAAATGGATAAACACACAGCAAGAAATGAGTGTCACAAATACTTAGCCTTATCTATATTATTTAGCGTTTCAGCGAAAATAGAGCACTTTTAGTGTAAATACAGTGTATTTTAGTAATTAGGCAATCATCTCTTGATATTTTGAAAGCAGCGCCTGTATTTTAGTATTTTAGGAATTTTCCCCACACACTAGGGACTCCCAGCTTACTAAGAAGTTGGGGCTGATCCGAGACATCCTTGTCTCAAAATATGACTCCATTGAGAGCACAAAAACAGCCCGCTCTAAGATGGTTACAAATGGGAAATTGTGCTCTTCAAAAGTGTATGACCTGATTAGATTCAAGGGCACCAAAACAGGTGTGGATGCCTTTTATTTGGAAAGCTTACATACCTCCTAAGTTCTCATTCATTGCATGGCTTGCCTTCCGCAACCGCCTTGCAACGTATGATAATCTTAGTAGGCTTGATGTGATTAACACTTGCCCATTTTGCAAGGGTGAACCGGAGACGGTGCCACACCTTTTCTTTGGTTGTCAATTTACAGGCACAGTTTGGAGCAAGGTAAGAGCATGGATTGAAATCGGTAAGATCTTTCAAACGAGATATTAAACGCTTTCAACGAAACAAAATAGAGCAAGATATGATCGCATCAAATTCTACACGAGTTCGGAGTGAAATCAAAAACATTTGTGAATATATCGTTAATCTGTAACCTTTAATTAATGCATTGTTAATGAAGTTGGAACAATAGCTTTAGAGCTCCGATCTATCTTTCCAACGAGATATATTATGCTCCAAACGGATAAACACACAGCAAGATATGAGTGTCACAAATACTTAGCCTTATCTCTATGATTTAGCGTTTTCAGCGAAAATAGAGCACTTTTAGCGTAAATACAGTGTATTTTAGTAATTAGGCAATCGTCCCTTGATATTTTGAAACCATCGCCTGAAGACATGTTTTAGAACTCCGTAAGATCTTTCCAACGAGATATTAAACGCTTTCAACGGCACAAAATAGAGCAAGATATGATCGCATCAAATTCTACACGAGTTCGGAGTGAAATCAGAAACATTTTTGAATATATGGTTAATCTGTAACTTTTAATTAATGAATTGTAAATTAAGTTGGAACAATAGCTTTAGATCTCCGATCTATCTTTCCAACGAGATATAATACGCTCCAAACGGATAAGCACACAGCAAGATATGAGTGTCACAAATACTTAGCCTTATCTCTATGATTTAGCGTTTTCAGCGAAAATAGAGCACTTTTAGCGTAAATTCAGTGTATTTTAGTAATTAAGCAATCATCCCTTGATATTTTCAAACCAGTGCCAGAAGACAAGATTTAGAACTAGGTAAGATCGTTCAAACGAGATATTAAACGCTTTCAACGACACAAAATAGAGAGATATGATCGCATCAAATTCTACACGAGCTCGGAGTGAAATCAGAAACATTTGTGAATATATGGTTAATTTGTAACTTTTAATTAATGCATTGTAAATGAAGTTGGAACAATAGCTTTAGAGCTCCGATCTATCTTTCCCACGAGATATAATACGCTCCAAACGGATAAACACACAGCAAGATATGAGTGTCAAAAATAAATAGCCTTATCTCTATGATTTAGCGTTTTCAGCGAAAATAGAGCACTTTTAGCGTAAATACAGTGTATTTTAGTAATTTGGAAATCATCCCTTGATATTTTGAAACCAGCGCCTGAAAGAGAAGGGAAATTTTGAGAGAGTCTCTCTCCTGGGATTTTCTCCCCAGTTCTTTCCCGTCGCTGAAAATCTGCGTAGGTATGCTTCATCGATTCGGTTTTTGCGATGTATATGTGTTACGCGGACTACAGGTGTGCCGGTTCTGGATTTGAGACTGAAACCTTGGTTTTCGGTCAAGAACTCTAGGTTTGAGGAGAGTTATCCCGATTTTACTGTTCATGTGCGTCTGTTAGTGTTGATTCTTAGCGTTTTTGGGAACGAATTTTCTGTCTGAAACCTGTTTGGGAATCGATTTACCTGAACGAAGCTCCTTCATCTCTTCGAAGGGTATTGTTTTGGGTCGGTTTGTTTGGAGATTTTCTGTTCGCACCATTTGGAATCATAGCTGGGACGAAATTTTCTGCGATGAAGGCCTTTTTCTCGCGACGAACCCCTGTTTAGTTTCTGGATTTGGTTTGTTGGGGCTCGTTTCCTGTTTTGTGCAGAATCCCTTGGAGTTCTGTCTCTGTAACGATGGTGAGAAACAAAAACAGTGTGGCTGGGAGTATTACCAGGTCCTCCCCCAGGTTTGCTGTACTTGATAGTGCTGATGAATTTCCGGATTTGACTTCTGTAAACACACCTGGGGTACCCAGACCTGCGGCTACTCACTCTATTGGCACTACGGTTGGAGCCGATAAATCTGCTGCAGTTCTGGTTGCAGCTAACGCAGGGACTGCAGGGAATTCTGCTGCTATTCCGTCTGGGTTACCTGCTGTAAAAAGTGCTGGGGCTTTAAAGATTACTCTTGCGCAATCTGTGCTTACTGCCCCTGCGCAATCTGTGCTTACTCCTGCGCAATCTGTGCTTACTCCTGCGCAATCAATACTTGATACTTTGAAACCTGCGCCTGAAGACAAGTTTTAGAAATCGGTAAGAGCTTTCCAACGAGATATTAAACGCTTTCAACGGCACAAAATAGAGCAAGATGTGATGGCCTCAAATTCTACACGAGTTCGGAGTGAAATCAGAAACATTTGTGAATATATGGTTAATCTGTAACTTTTAATTAATGCATTGTAAATGATGTTGGAACAATAGCTTTAGAGATCCGATCTATCTTTCCAACGAGATATAATACGCCCAAAACGAATAAACACACAGCAGGATATGAGTGTCACAAATACTTAGCCTTATCTCTATGATTTAGCGTTTTCAGCGAAAATAGAGCACTTTTAGCGTAAATACAGTGTATTTTAGTAATTAGGCAATCATCCCTTGATATTTCAAAACCAGCGCCCGAAGACAAGTTTTAGAACTCGGTAAGATCTCTCCAACGAGATATTAAACGCTTTCAACGGCAAAAAATAGAGCAAGATATGATCGCATCAAATTCTACACGAGTTCGTAGTCAAATCAGAAACATTTGTGAATATATGGTTAATCTGTAACTTTTAATTAATGCATTGTAAATGAAGTTGGAACAATAGCTTTAGAGATCCGATCTATCTTTCCAACGAGAAATAATACGCCCAAAACGAATAAACACACAGCAGGATATGAGTGTCACAAATACTTAGCCTTATCTCTATGATTTAGCGTTTGCAGTGAAAATAGAGCACTTTTAGCGTAAATACAGTGTATTTTAGTAATTAGGCAAGCATCCCTTCATAGTTCGAAACCAGCGCCTGAAGACAAGTTTTAGAACTCGGTAAGATCTCTCCAACGAGATATTAAACGCTTTCAACGGCATAAAATAGAGCAAGATATGATCGTATCAAATTCTACACGAGTTCGGAGTGAAATCAGAAACATTTGTGAATATATGGTTAATCTGTAACTTTTAATTAATACATTGTAAATGAAGTTGGAACAATAGCTTTAGAGCTCCGATCTATCTTTCCAACTAAATATAATACGCTCCAAACTGATAAACACACAGCAAGATATGAGTGTCACAAATACTTAGCCTTATCGCTATGATTTAGCGTTTTCAGCGAAAATAGAGCACTTTTAGCGTAAATACTGTTTATTTTAGTAATTAGGCAATCATCCCTTGACAGTTTGAAACCACGGCATGAAGACATGTTTTAGAACTCGACAATATCTTTCCAACGAGATATTAAACGCTTTCAACGGCACAAAATAGAGCAAGATATGATCGCATCAAATTCTACACCAGTTCGGAGTGAAATCAGAAACATTTGTCAATATATGGTTAATCTGTAACTTTTAATTAATGCCTTGTAAATTAAGTTGGAACAGAAGCTTTAGAGCTCCGATCTATCTTTGCAACGAGATATAATACGCTCCAAACGAATAAACACACAGCAAGATATGAGTGTCACCAATACTTAGCCTTATCTCTATGATTTAGCGTTTTCAGCGAAAATAGAGCACTTTTAGCGTAAATACAGTGTATTTTAGTAATTCGGCAATCATCTCTCGATATTGTGAAACCAGCACCTGAAGACAAGTTTTAGAACTCGGTAAGAGCTTTCCAACGAGATATTAAACGCTTTCAATGGCACAAAATAGAGCAAGATATGAGCGCATCAAATTCTACACGAGTTCGGAGTGAAATCAGAAACATTTGTGAATATATGGTTAATATGTAACTTTTAATTAATGAATTGTAAATTAAGTTGGAACAATAGCTTTAGATCTCAGATCTATCTTTCCAACGAGATATAATACGCTCCAAACGGATAAACACACAGCAAGATATGAGTGTCACAAATACTTAGCCTTATCTCTATGATTTAGCGTTTTCAGCGAAAATAGAGCACTTTTAGCGTAAATTCAGTGTATTGTAGTAATTAAGCAATCATCCCTTGACATTTTGAAACCAGCGCCAGAAGACAAGATTTAGAACTAGGTAAGATCGTTCCAACGAGATATTAAACGCTTTCAACGGCACAAAATAGAGCAAGATATGATCGCATCAAATTCTACACGAGTTCGGAGTGAAATCAGAAAAATTTGTGAATATATGGTTAATTTGTAACTTTTAATAAACGTAAATACAGTGTATTTTAGTAATTAGGAAATCATCCCTTGATATTTTGAAACCAGCGCCTGAAGACAAGTTTTAGAACTCGGTAAGATCTTTCCAAAGGGATATTAAACGCTTTCAACGGCACAAATTAGAGCAAGATATGATCGCATCAAATTCTACACGAGTTCGGAGTGAAATCAGAAACATTTGTCAATATATGGTTAATCTGTAACTTTTAATTAATGCATTGTAAATTAAGTTGGAACAATAGCTTTAGAGCTCCGATCTATCTTTGCAACGAGATATAATACGCTCCAAACGAATAAACACACAACAAGATATGAGTGTCACAAATACTTAGCCTTATCTCTATGATTTAGCATTTTCAACGAAAATAGAGCACTTTTAGCGTAAATACAGTGTATTTTAGTAATTAGGCAATCATCCCTTGATATTTTGAAAGCGGCGCCTGAAGAAGAGTTTTAGAACTCGGTAAGATCTTTCTAACGAGATATTAAACGCTTTCAACAGAACAAAATAGAGCAAGATATGATCGCATCAAATTCTACACGAGTTCGGTGTGAAATCAGAAACAGTTGTGAATATATCGTTAATCTGTAAATTTTAATTAATGCATTGTAAATGAAGTTGGAACAATAGCTTTAGGTTGTTTTTACTTGGACTGTAATTCGTCCCAGACCAGACCAGACCAGAACAAACCAAACCAGACCAAACCAGATCAGACCAGACCAAAACAGCCCAGACCAGACCAGACCATATTTTATTATTATTATTATTATTATTATTATTATTATTATTATTATTATTATTATTATTATTATTATTATTATTATTAGTATTATTATTATTATTATTATTATTATTATTATTATTATTATTATTATTATTATTATTATTATTATTATTATTATTAGTATTATTATTAGTATTATTATTATTATTATTATTATTATTCTTATTCTTATTCTTATTATTATTATTATTAGTATTATTATTATTGTTATTATTATTATTATTATTATTATAATTATTCTTATTAATATTATTATTATTATTATTATTATTATTATTATTATTATTATTATTATTATTATTATTATTAGTATTAGTATTATTAATTTTATAACGAATAGACAAAATTTTAGCATGCTGGAAGGAATATTATTATTTTTAATTATAAATGAATAAAATATAATTAGTTATGGATTATAATATATATATAAAAAATAAAATATTTACGCAAAAAATATAAAAAATAAGATTTCAGACCAGACCAGACCAGACTAGACCAAAACAAACCACACCAAAAAAAACCAAACCAGACCAGACCCACAAATTACGGTCCAAGTAAAAACATCGTTAGAGGTCCGATCTATCTTTCCAACGAGATATAATACGCTCCAAACGGATAAACACACAGCAAGATACGAGTGTCACAAATACTTAGCCTTGTCTCTATTATTTAGCAATTTCAACGAAAATAGAGCACTTTTAGCGTAAATACAGTGTATTTTAGTAATTAGGCAATCATCGCTTGATATTTCGAAACCAGCGCCTGAAGACAAGTTTTAGAACTCGGTAAGATCTCTCCAACGAGATATTAAACGCTTTCAACGGCAGAAAATAGAGCAAGATATGATCGCATCAAATTCTACACGAGTTCAGAGTGAAATCAGAAACATTTGTGACTATATGGTTAATCTGTAACTTTTAATTAATCCATTGTAAATGAAGTTCGAACAATACATTTAGATCTCCGATCTATCTATCCAACGAGATATAATACGCCCCAAATGGATAAACACACAGAAAGATATGAGTGTCACAAATACTTAGCCTTATCTTTATGATTTAGCGTTTTCAGCGAAAATAGAGCAGTTTTAGCTTAAAAAAAGTGTATTTTAGTAATTAGGCAATCATCCCTTGATACTTTGAAACCCGCGCCTGAAGACAAATTTTAGAACTCGGTATGATCTTTCCATCGAGATATTAAATGCTTTCAACGGCACAAAATAGAGCAAGATATGATCGCATCAAATTCTACACGAGTTCGGAGTAAAATCAGAAACATTTGTGAATATATGGTTAATCTGTAACTTTTAATTAATGCATTGTAAATGAAGTTGGAACAATAGCTTTAGAGATCCGATCTATCTTTCCAACGAGATATAATACGCCCAAAACAAATAAACACACAGCAGGATATGAGTGTCACAAATACTTAGCCTTATCTCTATGATTTAGCGTTTTCAGCGAAAATAGAGCACTTTTAGCATAAATACAGTGTATTTTAGTAATTAGGCAATCATCCCTTGATATTTTGAAACCAGCGCCTGAAGACAAGTTTTAGAACTCGGTAAGATCTTTCCATCGAGATATTAAACGCTTTCAACGGCACAAAATAGAGCAAGATGTGATCGCCTCAAATTCTACGCGAGTTCGGAGTGAAATCAGAAACATTTGTGAATATATGGTTAATCTGTAACTTTTAATTAATGCATTGTAAATGAAGTTGCAACAATAGCTTTAGAGATCCGATCTATCTTTCCAAGGATATATAATACGATCCAAACGGATAAACACATAGCAAGATATGAGTGACACAAATACTTAGCCTTATCCCTATGATTTAGCGTTTTCAGCGAAAATAGAGCACTTTTAGCGTAAATACAGTGAATGTTAGTAATTAGGCAATCATCCCTTGATATTTTTAAACCAGCGCCTGAAGAAAAGTTTTAGAACTCGGTAAGATCTTTCCAACGAGATATTAAACGCTTTCAGCGGCACAAAATAGAGCAAAATATGATCGCATCAAATTCTACACGAGTTCGGAGTGAAATCAGAAACATTTGTGAATATATGGTTAATCTGTAACTTTTAATTAATTCATTGTAAATGAAGTTGGAACAATAGCTTTAGAGCTCCGATCTATCTTTTCAACTAGATATAATACGATCCAAACGGATAAACACACAGCAAGATATTAGTGTCACAAATACTTAGCATTATCTCTATGATTTAGCGTTTTCATCAAAAATAGAGCACTTTTTGCGTATATACAGTGTATTTTAGTAATTAGGAAATCATCCCTTGATATTTTTAAATCAGCGCCTGAAGACAAGTTTTAGAACTCGGTAC